AAATTATTCAGGGCCTCATAATTCAAACAATACCTTCCGTTGAACATGAAGAAGGTCTTTTCTTAATACATTAGTTGCCCCAATAACGCCAATATTTATTAAAATAGGTTCTAAAGACTCTATTTGGTAAAATTCACTTTAAATGCAACGTTTCCCTTTAGCAGGTGTAACTAAAAGTGGCAACTGGCATTCGTATTGGTAACAACCAGGTGCCTTTTGACATGTGTTTCTTTCAGTGGTGGCGCTAGGTTTCCTCCGACAAAGGGGCTAGCACTTCCGACGGAGGGGCTAATTTTTTTAGAGAACGATAGGGCTAGGGGGCGACAAGGAATTGTAAGGGTACTGGAGACCGAAGGCGAGCGTTGCGAGCCGAAAATTCGGGGGGTCCGGGGGTACTCCCCCGGGAAAATTTTGGTGGCTACACCCATTAGATTGGCTAAAAATGCTATCAAAATGGTGTAATCGTGTTTTTTACTACGTTTTTTGACATATTACTAAGGGCACGTTTGCCCCCTCCCTTGCCCCTCCTAGCAAAGGGCAGGAGGGGCGCTTGCCCCCCCGCGCCCCCCTTCTCCGGCGTCCCTGGAAATTTTTTTTGAAAGCTGCCTCTAGATAAGCTTAAAACTACTCTAAATCTTTACAACTCATCAAACGTTGCCAATTCAAGTAGGGCCTATCTTTGGAAAGTATGAATTTAAATAAAAAGCAACCAACTGAACTTAAGGAAAACTGGAACACAACGTAACTTTATAGGAACAGACCTAAGCGGTGGAATACGCACTTCTACATATCGAAAATTCAAGTCCAAGAATCAAAATTGTTTCAAATTGTTTATAAAAAAAACTAGAAGGATTTATCGTAAATAGTAATAGATGGTTTCCCTTAAAAATAGTAAAAAATAAGAAATTTGGAAACTATTAGTACTCTGGGCTTGAGTCAAGTTTCTTATAAATAAAAAAACGTGTACGTAGAAGCAAAACACTACAAATATGTATGGTTGGGATGGGGTAAAATGGCTTAGCTACTACGTAAATGAGTTTGATTGTTTTTATGGCTGAAGCCCTTTGCTAAGTGTTTTTCCTCGTATTAAAAGGACTTAAATATTAAAACGTATAACATACCACGTTCGATTTGCTCTTCGTCTTGAATTTTCGAAATTTCAACTTCTTGTTCTTCGGGGTCTTCTGTTGTTCTTTCAGTTTCAAAATCATTAACCTTTCGTTTCTTTGGAAAAGTACCGCCTTTTGATTGAAAAAATGTTTTTATTTTTCTCTGCTGCGAGTCCGTTTCAACTATTGCCGTCGTAGGAGCAGTCCTTCCCATTGCAGCCAAATCTTTGTGCTTGGACTTCGTGTGGCGGGCAGCGTAATCATTGTTAAATACGTCATTACATATACTACATCTAACACTGAAACGGGTAACATTTGTTGCCATATCGCTATCGCACAAAAATATTCCGATGTTGTAGGTTGGTTATAGCAAGCAAGATTTGGACGAACTGCACTATCCATAACATAAGATCAAATTTAACAGCATGCGGAAAACACCTGGTACTGAACATCTAAACAACCAATTCAAACTTCTTATAACAGATTATTATTTACCATGAAATTGATGTGTCGATGAGTTGTTTTGGGATGAGCTTCCTGAATTCTGATAACAGTCCTTTTAGAAATTTCTATTTCCGCCAAAACTTAAAAAATTCGCTCCGACAAAAAAAATTCAAGCATAATTTATCTTCCGACGGAGGGGCTAGCCTCCTCCGACGGGGGGGCTGTAGCCCCCCCTGCCCCCCCTCTGGCGCCACCACTGGTTTCTTTCGAGGGAAAAGAGTTCCTTGCTCAAAGTCCCTACTTTCAGACGGCATTTTCAATAAACATATTTATTTAAATGTAAATTTTTATTGTAAATGTATATAAAAGGCAGTTTAAAGGATTTAACTCCAAATAACCTAGTTTGATAAACACCACAGTAAAAGCTTAATTGACTCATGAAGATAAGATAAGAACTTGCAAATCGTAGATAAAATTTTGTTTCTGTAAATAAAAGAAAATTGACAAATTTACCCGTTGCTTTTCTTGGCTCTTGGCTTGGCCAATTTCTTCATGATCTGCTTTTAGGGTCTTTTTTCGTTTTCCTTTAGCAACCCCTTCCTACAATAAAAAGTTAATTTGATTTCGCACGATATTAAAATAAACAAAACAAATTAGTTTAATTTTGTAATATTACAGGAGCGTTGTAAACCGACCAAAATTCAACTCTTGCTAGTTAATGTATACACACCAATATACTTTATAAAATCAAGATAGGCATATTCCGACAATCCATAACATTCCCGACCATCCGTAAAATTTACCGACCAACTTTCCAGAAGTGGGAGGCTGTACCTCCACCCCCCCTCCCACGCACACACCCCGGTAGGCATTATGAACATTGCTTAACGGAAATTTCAAGCAACATGCGTTTTTAATTTGATTCCCTTTTCATAAAAGCCTAAGTTACAAATAGTTCAACTAACATTGAAAAATCCTTAAGTTTCTAATTGAAAATGATGTCAATTTGATTTATTGACAAGGCAATTCACTACCAGTGGAGCTATGTGTAATTGATAATGGAAGGCTTTATTTGAAAATAAGAAATTATATAGTGTCATGTATGTTTGCTCTATGGTTATATTAAGATAGTAAAGTCGGTTTGATTTTAATCATTATGTTTCGAATCAATGGTTTGCTTCAACTGTTTTGCTTCCTATCAAAGCTCCCCGGGGGTGGAGGTACCTAAAGTAAATTATGGGTATGTGCGAGCCCAGGTTTTGGGTGTTATTTCAATATTCCTCTCCAGTTTTTGGTTTGGTGATTTAAGAATGATATCCTGTTTTGGGTACTATTATTGCCGTGAATCATCGAGTTTTGGGGTAAAGTTTTGTTTGCATCTTCGCACATACCCGTCCTTACCTCCAGGTACCTCCACCCCCGGGCAAAGAATGCAAGTCCAATTGACAATCATATAAAGAAGGAGACAAGTTTCCCAGTCGAATATTTGAATATGTCAAACTTAGATTTTCAATGATTTTCTTGCCTGTTTTCGCCAAGGAAGATCATCCAAGCCATAGTCGTATCGAAGTTCTTCCCCCTGCGTAATAGTTCTTGTGGCGAACAAGCAAAGATGGGGAACTTGGCCAACCATAACTTTCTGCATCTTGCAGTTTCCCAGCTTGCTATCGTTCACCAATCTTCCAAGACGACCAGAGGGCTCTGTAGCATCAACACTGGAAAAAAATGGTTAGCTTAACACTATCAATACTAATAGGTGCAATTTGCTATCATAAAAAGGACGTAGCCAGGTTGGAGCTGGGAGGAACCACGTTCAGCAATTGAAAAATCTTTAAAACGAGATCTGCAGCATTTCTCAATTTTTTGCCGTTGCAAGTTGCTATTGTCTCTACTGTCGTTTACAAAGGATGAAAGTTTGCTACGACTACTGAAATGATGATATAATGGCATATACGAAGAGCATGTTTCAATATGTTTTCGGACTGAAAATTAATAGACAGAAGTACATCCTTTGTATTGCCAATGTTTGTTATCTGTAAAATCATAAGCCTAACCTCAAGGTTGGGTTTTATTATTTATGAAAAAAGTGAAATATATATTCCCAATAATTTCAGATGTCCCTTATAGCAAGTGTTTGTGTCCTGCAGGTTTCTACCTTTATTTTACTCTAACATCTAATATTAATACATTTAAAATTTCTGTGAGAATGCTTGATTCCTTCAGGAGCTTCACACTTTCATTAGAGGAAAAGCTAAGGGGTCGTACCAAAACAGATTTTGTGATTCTTAATTGCATGTTGCCGTTAAGATTTTGAGCCACCTCCCCTCTAGCTCTTAGCGGCCATCCAAGTTTCTTAAAGAACAGTTTCTTATAGAAATCATGCAACGCACATAAGTCGGGGAAAAGTGGATATTTGTTACCCATCTGTGCCGATCGTCCCAATAACCAAGAAGAAGTAATGCAAATTCTGTATGCTTATCTGTTCATTTCAAAAGGGAGGGTTTTTAGATCTAGTCGTATCTCATTGTTTTATAACAATGTTCAATGAGAAGTGATGTCCAAATTTAAGAGTATCTCTGTATTCTCTTTATTCATGAAAAATTAGAATAGAATCTTTGACTGTTTCTGTCCACCTGTAGTAGGATTAATTCTATGTTTAACAC